GTGAATCAAGGGGATTTATCAACAGTTTCCAGGCCTAGCAGATCCCATGGAGGCCAGACAGGGTGCTGGGAAAGGTGCCGAGACTCCTAGTTCCTTGTTCTAAATAGCATTCAGTTCACCCAATGACTCAGTTATCAGGACTTCTCTCTTTACAAGGCGTGCAAAGTTTCAGTCCCCTCTGTAACAGCAGCAATAATTTATTGGGTTGCCAATCTATAGGGGTAAGTGAAAAATGAAGTTCTGCTTTGTATTTGGAACCATATCCAATTAGATTCTTGCCTCAAATTATTACTGAATAATTTTTCTCTCCTGAATAATTATCTATTATTGAATAATTATCTCTCCTGAATAATCTTAAACATAGACTATTTTTTTCCTAACTTAGTAGCAAGGGCTTATAGATAGAGTTAATCAAAGAGCAGGTTGAATGCCCCAGAAATTATGATAAGCCACACTATCTCTCTTGAAATTCTTTGCTCTCAATGTTCAGGCAGAACCAAAGAGTTAATATGAAATCAAGCAGAACTCTTGGATTACTCATTTTTAAGATTTATAATGATAAATTATGGTGATAATCTAATAGAATGCCTAAGAAATAAAGCTGAATAGGTGATTCTTTTGAGCAAGGATGAATATTCAGATTAAGAAAAACTGCTTATGAAACTGCAGTCCCAGTAATTCCCCACCAATTACTTTCTGAAACTCAGTCCCTATATGATCTAACTGGGACTGTGTGGAGGATTATCACAACATCTCATTTCTGCAGTGAATGGCATCATTCGACATTTAATATTCATTGAGGCTTTTAGGAAACAGAGAGGTTTCCATATGTCTCCAGAGCAAAACATTTGTGTTTGCCATCTGCTACTCAAGAGTAGTTTTGTTGAAAAAGAATGCAATTGCTTGGTTCTTTAATGACTTCGAGGTTAGACTATAGTGTAGTTGGGGCTGTGGGACAGCCCATTCACTGCTGGGAGAATTCTGTTGTTTACTTAGGCAACAACTTAAAGAATTCTTTACAAACAAATGGCATGAAAAGAAACTGAAGCCTAATATTATCTTTTTTAACTCAATGCAAAGACTATTGTGAAGTGATGTATGAGGTTTTTTTTGTTTAAGTTGGCATTAAGGACACATTACCTAGGACACAGGACTTTAAGGTCAGTATAGCAAGCAATGGTTCTCTTTTCCTAGTCCTGACCAAAGACATACATGGCTCAGTACTTTAAAAAATAATAATAATTAAAGGATCTCCTTGAACTCAGTATCAGAGAAAAGGCAATTTAGTCTTAGCCACCCAGGAGCTAATAACCTGGGCTTTGGACTCTGCGGTTTGTTTCTCCTTCCCTCTTCTCATTGGCTTCTTGAATTGTGGGTAATTCTCTGCTCAGTACATCTCCACTAGCCTGTGAATATGTACCATTGGTTTCACTTAATCAGAAGTAACTTCAAACAACAGGGTTTAACCAAAAGTGAAAACCCTGAGTTTTCACTTTTTTTACAGATTATCTGTAAATTCTATTATTGATGTTTTTCTAGCCCTCCTCACTGTAAAATTTCATTCATTGGGGTTTTTAGCACATGAAATATAAGAAATTGCCAAATTGAAGGGGCCTAGTTTGGCAAGACTAGCAATGAGATCTCACTCATGGATGTCTGATTTCTTAGACTAGTTTCTGCTTTATGATGCTATTAAACCAATAAATATAGAGATTGTTGTAATGCTTCCAAAGTTCACACCTCCACATACTAGGTGAATCAGCAGATATTAACAGGCGAAACTAGGAGAAAGGGTTTCATGGTCAAACCCTTCTGAGAAATGCTGCTATCACAGTGTTTTGATGGCACAGCCTCTCAGACCCTTAATAGGCTGATGTGCCTTGTGACTCCATAACTGGGTGTGGTGTGCTCTTCCCCAGAGGAAGAGTGGTGTGCATCCTGCCTGAGGTCCCTCTTTGATGAAGCATCTTATGGGACCTGTGTCCTGCAAAATATATGTTGAGAATCTCTGGTTTAATCTAAGCCCTTAGTTTTAGATATGCAGATCTAAATAGTAAAGTCCTGCTCTTATGATGAAAATCAGCATGTTTACAGGAAGCTGTCTGGAAGGGAGGCAGCATCCATTACTAGAGTTTCTGGCAAACTGGCCCCAGAACACCTGTTCCTACCTCCTGGGATTTTTTTCCTAAATCCCGGAGCAGGGCTTCCTCATGCTGCTTTGGTTCCTTATCCCTTATTGGGCCCACAGAGAGATCAGCCAAGGGCCTGGGGGTGCCACATGGCTGTTTCCTCCCTACCTAGGCCAGCTGCTTTACCCCCAAGTTCTGGGGGACTGGCAGACATTGTACTAAACTGAAGTGAAAATCACCTTATGTGCAGAAGCACATTTACCTAGAATTCTGAAAGTGCAAAACAACAGATTTTTAAATAAACATTCTGGATGCTGTATTTTTGTTTCTGTTTTTTTTTCCAGAGAAAAACACCACTAGTAAGTAATTAAGCTAACATTCACTTTTTTTTCTTTTGCATTATTCTGTATTTTGAGTGAATTGTAGGATATATCAAAGGGTCACATCACACTCAGGCTAATTTCCTATAGTGACATGTAAATTCTGTAAAATGATCTGCACAGTAAAATGTTTTTAGAGATGAATTATTTAGATTTCTTGAAGGCATGAATCATATTCACATTGTATCCCTAATGACTAACACAGAGCTTGGCATACATTAGTCATAAAGTGATAAATATGTTTGCATTAATTACTAAATTATAATCTGATGATTGGACTTTCAAAAATAATGGTAATATTATACTAATGGAACTAATAACATACTACTTTTTCAAAAACCTCAAAGATAAATTCCTTGACCTGGCTAAGATTTATAAGCTGGTTAACACTCCTTATTGCAGTCCGTTCTTTTCATAAACTGCACTGTGGTGTGCTGCCTCTTTTAGGCAACAGTGAATGACGTCACTTCAATATCTGACTTTTAAACACACGCACGTGCGAATTGGAATGAGTCAGTAATAGCCAGTCCTAACTTCCAGTCATTGCAGAATTCCCCTTTCAGCCACTTGGACTGTATTAAACATTCTGAGGGCTATTAGCCATAAAATGAACCTGAAGAAATGTGTAATCCTAGAGGGCCTTCTGAGTCATCAATGAAGGATGCAGTTATGTTGGTAAATTAGTTTGTGTTCTATATTTCCATTCATTTAGTACATTATTTTTTTACCTACAGTGTATAAAACAATTCACTGGGTGCTCTAAGAAAATAAAGATGAAATTGAGATAGACCATCCTGTAAGAAGCCTATGACCTTAAAGGAGAGATGGGGCACACAAGTCAATAATTACAATGCTGGGTAAAATTAGGAAATGCCAGTAATGTGCTGTTTTGTTAGTTTCTGGTTCTTTCCAAATTAATTTTTCTGTCCAAACTGGCAGTCTGCAGTTAGGCAGATTACCCAGTGCATTAGAACTTCCCGTTCCCTAGCTGCTCTGGATAAGTGAGAGTTTACGTCACTTGGTATCGGTGATGCCAGGCTTTACCAGCAGTCATCAGTATCCTCCGAGAGCCACGCTTCTTATTAAATGGCAGGCCAGGATCCCCCCGGCAAGTGGGGGTAGCCAGTACTAAGTCACTTAGTTTGGACATACACTGCACTTGAACTGAGCAGGCAAAGAAGATGAATTGCATTGATGTGAGAACATGAATTGTGGTGGGGCGGCTGCAGGTATGCTTTCAGGAGGTTGGACACTTGTGTGGGCAGCAGCTCAGTAGTAGACAGGCCAAGTCATCAAGTGACAACCAGAAATGGGGTCATATACACATATAAAGTGCTCCTGACTGAACAGATAGTAAATTTCTTCGGAGGGGTGGGCGGTGGGAAGAAGACTATGGGAGCCAGAGAAAGACCTGTCTGCCACACCCTAGAAGTGACTACCACCTGATGCTCTGGATTGACTCACAGAAAGTGCTCCTGGCTCTGCAGAGTAGCTCTGACTGAGCAGATAATGGATTTGTTCAGGGTGGGGGCGGCAGGGAAGGGAGAAGACTCTGGGAACAGGAGAAGGACCTGTCTGTCCACACCCCAGAAATGACTACCACCTGATGTTGTGGATTGACTCTTATTCTGATTTGGGCCATATCTTTATCTCTGTTTAGAAAGCAAATTTTTTTAAAGACTTGATTTATATGACCAACATGGGAAGGTCATTAAGGAAATACATCATTTATGTATCAGGAACAAGGCCTTCAGGGAAGGTTGGACTAAAGCCTTTGAGCTGAAAATCCAGAATTCAATTCCATCAGCATTGTTAACATATACACGTGTTAGCGTAACACATCAGCAACAAACCAGCATCAAGGCACACACTTTACACATTTTCCTATTGCCATCTTTGCCTTGAGAATTGATGATAAAAATACTTCTTATGTGTGGACATAGTTCCTTTAAAAGTGTTGTGAATCATTAATTTAAACAAAATTGAGGTATGAGTTAATAAGGAAGCTCATAATTTTAACTTACTTGCTTGTCAACCCAGGACTGTGATATGACTCCGATTCTGAGGGAAATTATAAGGACAGAGGGATCTGTTTTACCCGGCAGCTCCTTGCAACCCTGGCTGGTTCAAGGACACCTCCACAAAGGCAAGGTAGCACATACCCACCTGGTGGCCCAGAGGGTCATGCTTTTTTTTTCCTCCCACTTGGTCCATTTGGGCAAAACGAAAGCAGGGGTACCCACCCTAGGATCACCTGGCAGGGGTGTCTAACCCATGGCCCACAGGCTGCATGGGGCCCAGAATAGCTATGAATGTGGCTAAACACAAACTCATAAACTTACTTAAAACCTTTTTTTGCTCATCAGTTCTCGTTAGTGTTTGTATATTTAACGTGTGGCCCAAGACAACTCTTCTTCTTCCACATCTCTGGTGTGGCCCAGAGATGCCGAAAGGTTGGATGCCCCTGCTAGAGCTTTGATATCTGTTTTTTTTATGGGAATGCAACCTCTCCAGTTAAATATTTAAGTACAGAGTTTATTCATTTAATTTCTAGCCCTTATACCTACCAGAGACCATGCCTACTGCCCAGAATGAGTAAGTTTTCTATGAGAGGCAGCAGACAAACCACTTGAAACATCTTGTGCCTCTGTGTTTTATAGTTGAACAATTACTTACGGCTATCCAGATCTGTGCAGGTTCCAGCATTAACTCATGCTTTTGGCTTATTTATTATTTGGCCAGATATATTAGCTCTTAGGTCTTGGCAAGCATAACTCTTCTCCTGGGGACCACTCTTTAGAGACCCCTACCCCTGCCCTTTTCTGGTCACTCCTCCTGGCAGGGCAAGGAGTCCACAGGCCAGATGGATTTTTTACTCAGAGCCATGCCTCCCCTATTAGGTCACACTCTGGGTTCCCAGCCCCCAGAATTCTTGCCCAAAGCCCTGCTTCCAGGACTGGTGTGGGCCTCTAATCTTGATCTACCCTTCAAAGGGCCGACTGTGCCGCTGGTGTGGCACCAGCAGCCCAAGTGGTGGCCAAAAGGCGGTGGTGATGTCGCCAGAGCTTGAACATATGGGCTGGGATCCTCATCGTGTGTGTGTGAACCCGTCACGGTGTGGGCTGGGCCTGCAGGTGGGGAAGAAGGACATTGGTCTGGGCCAGGACTGCTCTGCCTGAATCACCACATTCTGGTGTGGAGCTCTGAGCAGCCGGAATACTCTAAATTCAAACCCGTTTTCTAGGTCATTAGGAACATATTTCTGTTAGGATAGAAAACTAGCTTGTTAGCTTCGGCTACAATTTTTAAGTATTTAGATACATGGTGTGTGGGTCTCCATTTTTACTCTTGTCCAGGGCCCCACCAATATGGGACTAGACCTGCTGTTGGAATAGGTTTGATTTTAAGTTTGTTTAAAATTAGAATATGAAGGACATGGTAACCGAGGGTTGCAGGGTGAGTAGTGGGTGGGCTGCTTTTTACCAGGTCGAGTGTAGCACTGCTCCCCAGCAATGTTCCAACGATGTCTCAGTGTCCTGGCCCTGCCCCCAACCCGACAGGAGAACTTGTGTGTGTGTGTGTACACATGCATATGTGTATTCAACATCCATTAAGAACCAGAAGTATGTGATTAGCTATTTTCAAATAATTCAAGCCCCACACTGCTGCTCTGGTCTAGATCATTGCTGCTTCTCTGCCAAGCATCCTTAAGCTGCTCGGAGTTAAGAGCCAGGCACTCTGAAGGCCTCTTCCAAGCAAAAAAAGAATAAACTAGACAGGGAATTGGGCCAGGTGTCCTTGATTGAACACCACTTCACTTCAGCAAATCCCTAAGCCTTTCTATCTGTGTTGTCAGCTGTAAAATGAGCAGACAGATTTGGCCCCACCGCAGAGTGGCAGGTTTAATTAATGATGACTGGGATGGGCTTTGTAATGTAAAGTTGTATATAAATGAAAAGGGAGCCCTGGAGCCCTTTTATCCAAAGTCTGGAGTGCATCCTGCCTTCTGCTGCCACAGTTAAGCCTCTAAGTCCTGATCACAGACTGCTGCAGACTTCAGGGGTCCCGACAAGCAGAGCTGGGCTCACATTACCTGGGCAGAAAGCAGGGTTTCTGGTAACAGGAGTGGCGCTCAGAGTGAGTAATCAGCACATGGTTCCGATTTCTGGCAGCACCAAGATCCACTGGTCCAGCTGGCAGCAGGTGATGGAATGGTTTCTGCAAAGTACAAAGAACAAGTGTCCCGATTTATTCTTAGGATGATCCTGGGAAGATCCTTGAGATCTAGGTGTCACGCTGAGGGGAGAGCTCTTTCTCAAAGACCTCCCCTGTACTTCTTCCTGTTGGCACTGTCATGGTTTGTTGGCTGACAGCTCACCTTAGAGGTGTTGTCTTCAGGGGCAGTGTGGGTAAAGCCTGTCTAGGACCCATTCCTTCCTTTAAAGTCTTGTGTCTTATTCTTGGGGGTCACATCCCACACTTCACCTACAGACATGGGTATGTGATTTCCCAGAAGTCACACCCAGACTGGTGAGAACCAGGGAATTGTTGATTACTTTGGCTAACATGGGATTTCTGTCCTTCTTACACAATTCATCTAAAAACATGCATATGCAGTGAATCATAACTTTTAAATACTTAGTAGGCATGCTCTCTCTTTCCCGTAATCTCCTGGAGCCTTTGTGTTTCTGGGATGGAGTAAAATATTCACTATTATGTCATAACTATGTTTGTACAGCTTCTTACTTAATTTAGGAGACCTTGATCTCCTTGAAAATCCTGAGAGGGTCTTAATCATTTTCTCATTGCCCCTGACATCAGTGCCTTCCTTAGAGGACACACACACATACACACACACATTGTTCAATGTGTTGAAAATAAAAAGACATAATGAAGGATGAAAAGTAACGGGATGAGGAATGCGGTGGAGCACAGAGTGTGTAATCAGCACATGGAGAAGAAGGCCTAATGCCCATTAGGGAGCTTCATTTTCAAATATTTTTAAATGTCTTGTTGGAAGATCTAAGTATATTATATTAACACCAAAGGCCTTCAAACAGACTTAGACCTCTATCTTGGTTCTGCAAGTTACCATTTGTGGGAACTAAGGAATGCTACTTGACCAACTCTGTGCCTTAGTTTCCTCATCTGTAAAATGGGAATAATAACACTGTCTATCTTACAGAGATGCTGTATAGATTAAATGATAATCCATGTAAAGTGCTTTACACAATGCCTGACGCAAAATGAGTGCTCATGAAAGCATCTTTATCATCATCACCATAGATTGTAGGGGAAGGAGTCTTGGTTGCTTTGAGAGCCTAAGAGGATAACCTTCAGATTTAACAACCAGCCCCCATAGTTCCATTAATGCCACCTTATTAATCTGAAGCACAATCCAGTGGGTTAGAACCTCCATATTTTCTGCATCTAGCCCCTGATTTCAGATTATATTCTTTGGATAGTTCAAGAAGTATGATAAGGTAGTTCTCATTCAGACAATATAAAAGCTGTTTTAAAAAGACACTTTACAAATTAATTACTTGAGCCTATGCATAAGTAATTTTGTTGCTTGTAAAATATATTGTTAGGCAGTGTGGATCCCTGTAAACAGGCATAATTCCAATATGTTGGTATGTTTTTAGTTTAAACTGGCTTCTCTCCTCAATATTTGGTCCCTAGATTTGATTATTCTACATGAAAAAATGTTTTTGTTGCATAATATTCAGCACCAATTTGCTGACATTCATGAAGGTGTTTTCAGTGAACAAACTGTGTCCAGCTCATGTTCAGTGGTTCAGGGAGGAAGCAGAACACCAAGCAGCAAGGCAGCCTGAAGGATGATGACTTAGACCACCGAGGGGAGTAGCCTTGTGGGGTCTCCATTCAGCCTGTGCCTCCTTTCCAAAGAGCTTCCTCCGTTCCCTGCCCCAGGGTGGCCCCAGGAGTCACTATCACCCCGAGTGCCCAGAGATGATGAGCACAGACACTCCTGACCCAAGCTGAGACAACCAGATTCTTTTCCAGGGCACCTGGAATGGGGACATAGGCCTTCTGGTCAGGCACTACTGGCCCCAGAACTAGGACAGCACATAACAGGGAACAGGCATGGTCACTTTCACTGTGTGCTCTGAGAGGCAGGAAAAACTGGGATGGAGACAGAGGACACCGAAACAGTGTCAGGGAGAAGCAGAGATGAGAAACCAGGTCACCCCTGAGAGAAAAAGAGACGTGGCAAAAAAATAGCCATTTCCATTCCCAGTGGCCTCTCGGGCTTTGTTCTGACCCCCATGAAGCCCAGCTACTCTTCCTGCCCTGGCCCTGGTCCAGTACACTCTCCATTTTAGTGCAGGCAAGCTTCGGACATATCTGTTACACGAAACCCAAGGAGCCTTGGCCAAGCGAGTGAGCTGGCGCTGAGAGAGAGGCTAAGCCAGGGATTCCAGTTACACGGGCAGGGTCTGCCTCATGAGGACTGCCTGGGTGGTCCAATCACACTGGCCTGCCAAAATCAGGCATGCACACAAGTAATTTTTGCTGATGATAAAATTGGATGGAACGGATTCAAAGTTATTCCTGAAAGAAAGTGCTCAGTCACTTCCTGATAAATAGATGGCTTTATACATGGTGCACCCTGAATTTTGTCCAACCCTGAATACTTCTACATGGTTATGTGTGTTTGTGGCTGTCATTGGTCATACATGTTGTGGCAAAAACAAAAAACACTGCATAAGCACCGGTCTCTTCTAACACTTTGTCAGTCCCCATTGCTGGCCACTTAACACTCATCCACATTTTTGGCCTTGCGCCAGATTCAGCGACAGATCCCGTCTCTAGCTGAAGGCTCTGAGAAGCCTTGTTTCAGTAGTTTAGGGGACACAGTTAGGTTACCCTGTGACTTGTCCTGCTCTGATCAAACACCCTGGTTCTGGCTTCTGGGCCTCTGCCTTCATCCTGACACTGAGTCTCAGTTTTGACTTCCTCTTGCAGGACCAGAGTCCTTGATTGTTCAGGCTTCAGCCCCTGCCTCCATAACCTGACCGAGACTGTGGTCTCTTCAAAATCAGGACTCTAATTTTCTAATGTCTATTTTTCCCAAGTAACATACCTGAAATGCAGACCAAGCTGGAGGTGTGCTACCTGTCCCTTGCCCCGCCTGGCCCACACTGCCAGTCTGGGTCACTCACACTGTTTTCCCAACATCGCCCACCATTCCACCACCCCCACTTCACCACTGCCAGTAATCACATTTGTTCCACTTATGGGACGCCTGCCTTTTGCTCCCTTCCAGACCTTTCTAACCCTGAATCTCTCTAAGTCACCATATGACCTGTTACTACTTGAAGGATCCACGTGGTCCTGCAGCTCTGACTGCCTAGCAGACCCTGTCCACTGACTTTGACTGGTCACCAGTTACAAAGCCCAGCACAGAGCAGGGTGGCAGGGGGACAGTGAGGTGTGGTGAGCCTGACATGAGCATGGGCATCCTAAGTAGATCTGGTTCAGATCCTTGCTCTTCTACTTCCACAAGTTTCTTAATGCCTCCAGAACACCAAAGGATTGTTGAAAGCAGCATATGAGATAATGTGTCTGGCAAAATTTAGCAGTTATTCAATACAAAATTTAGTATTTAATAAGATACATCTTTCTTTCTTTTTTGCAGTTATATTTTTCAACAGATTTATTGGGATATAATTCACATATTAGTCAACCCGCTGTTTTAAAAGGTATAATTCAAAGGTTTTTAGTATATGTACTGGACTTAGATTCCTTAAAATGCAATTATAGCATAAAGGGTATGAGGTTTAATAACAGTTAAAAGACTAAGGATTTTAATGAGCTCTAAGTTATATAAATCAATCATGTGATGCCACTGAATTACCCAAAAGCTTATGTGAGACTGGGCTGTATTGATGCACATATAATTCCAGAATAATACAAGTAATGGTTCCATGTTATTCCGAGCTGGCAGGGTGTGAAGTCATTGGGCCTGTTTTAAGGGGAATGTGGACGAACTGGAGCGCGTCCAGAGAAACAGAAAGGGTGATGAGAAAGTGCAAAGACTGCTTGTAGGAGCCTGGGATGTTAATCCTGAAAAAGGAAAGCCACCCTCAATGAGCTCGGGGGACGTCATTTGGAAAATAAATGAGTGTGTTTTTTATGTTCTCTTCCTGGGCCCGAATCCAGGAAGGGTTAATGTGAATTTTGTTAATTTAAATTAAAAAACAAGGAGATTTGGCCCTGGCCAATGTGGTTCAGTTGGTTGGAGTGTTGTTCTATAAACTGAAAGGTTGCAGGTTCAATTCCGGGTCAGGATACATGCCTGGGTTGTGGGTTTGGTCGCCTGTCTGGGTGCATGCAAGAGGGAGCTGAATGTTTCTCTCTCACACTGATGTTTCTCTTCCCCTCTCCCTCCATTCCCCCCTCTCTAAAATCAGTCAGCATGTCCTCAAGTGATGATAAAAAAACAAAAACAAAAACAAAGCAGATTTTTACAGGATATATGGAAAAATTAGAGCCCTGGACAGGTGGCTCAGCTGGTCGGAGCATCATCTCATCCACCAAAAGGCTGTGGGTTCCATCCCTGGTTAGGGCACGTAGCCAGGTTGCCGCCTGAGGCAACTGATGGATGTTTCACTCTCGAATTAATGTATGTTTCTCTCTCTCTCTCAAAAAGCAATAAATACATTTGTGGGTGAGGGATTAAAATATAATAGTGATAAAAATAAAATTAACAAAAGAAAAAAAAAGAAACAATTAGAGCTGTCTAAAATTGGGATGGACTGTTTCTTCCTAACCTGAAATTCTGTGTTTAATGTAAACCTGTTTATTTGCAAGTCAGACAGCAATGTGTTATAGAACTCTCACTCTGTTATATGTTGTGCTCAGGTAGGCCAAATAATCCAGTAGGTCAGCTCTTCTTTATTCAAGGTCATCTATTTTGGGCTTGTCTAGTCGTCTATTCTTTCCCTGATGTTTCATTCCCACTCTCTGCTTTTTGATCAAGGAAAGAGAATAGGAAGCCCCGAACTTCCTTTTATTTTCATTAGTAATTCTGATGGTAGGGGAAATATTCCTAAAATAAGTCTATGGCATTACCTGAACAAAACATTGTGCTCATTTATCTCTTCCCCATTTTAGTACATGACTTTGTCTTAGTACCTGACACTGGCCACAGTGGCAACATGTATGGAAATTAGCAAACACTACAGGTCAGTAACACAACTCTCCTGCCCCAGCTCATTTCCCAGTGCTCTGCTGCTTCGGTCTAGGCTACCCAATGACTACCAAGCTGGCACAGTTAATAATGAAGGTAGACCTTCTATAGATTTTTGGACTATATGTCTCTATAAAAATGCATACTTAGAGCCAGTGGTATTTACTTTTATCTAAAGGCAATCTGAAATTTAAGTAGTTTAATATAGTTAACTAGTTCCAGATGAGTGGGATACGTAGGGGAAAATATTTGCAGAAGACTAGAGTCACTCTCCCCTGCCTTCCAGGCCATATCTCTTTTTCCTTTCGGAAAACCTATAATAACCATGGTCTGCACAGCTACTAATGGAGTGACCACATAACAGACTAGGAAGGCATCTCCAGGACAAGGGCCCTTAGCAAACAGAAAGATAAGCTGTGTTGTCCAGTGCTTGGCCTGCACAAGAAGTGGCTTCTTGTGCCACCTTTTGGATTTTGCAAGAACAATCACTAAGCTTTTTATCAAAGGTAAGACTCCTGCAAACATTTTCTGCAGATGGAATGTATTCATAATCTTCCTTAAGGCATAACTATTGTAAAAACATTGCATTTTACAGTTCATTATGAAGGAAATCACCATCAGGCCAAGATTCCTAGAGCCAACTAATTTCTATATCATCAGCAAGCTCTAGCAACCACAACTGAGCATTTATTGAGCACTTACAGTATGCTATACACTTTAAAGCATTATCTTACTTTATATTCATTTAACCTTATGAAATAGGTATAAACATTTTCATTTTAAAGATGGAGAAACATAGAACTTAAGTGGCTATTAGAGTTAAAAAGTTTCTGTGCTTCTAGGAAACAGGGTTTATATTAGCTACTTCTTTGTATACAGTAGACATTCCACAGTTGAATAAGTTTTTTCATATGAATAAATAAAATACCATTCTTAATACTTTGAACCCTTGGGCTCATTAGCCTTTTAATCTGATTTTATCTAATGGTAAAAGAGAATGATTTCATTTATTTTGCCTGTAACACACTTTCCAAGGGAAGCACTCACTATAATATCTCGACAACCCTAAAATGACTTAGGATTATTTTCCCAAGTTTAAAAACAAGTTAACTGAGGCTTAGCCAGAATTAAGTGGTCATTTGGTTGTTTTATCATACCAGGTTGAGGCAGAGGAAAGGTCAAAGGCATGTGTCACAAAGAACCTCATAAAGTTACAGCTAGAATAGAAGGGCTACAGGGAAACTAGAAGGGCAATAGTTATTAGTCCTCAAAGAATGACCATCAGGTTAGTTGTCTTGAATGTGGCACTCGGGGGTCTCATTCAAGCACTTATTATGCAGTTTGAGGCACGTGGGGAGATGAGACCAAATCATGATCTTAAGAAGGCTGTGGACTTTTAGGGAAGAGAAGACATAGATGCATAAACATAAAAGGAGATGAAATTACAGTATAGTACAAGAGCATAAAACAAAAGACCGCACAAGATAGAAATAGTTATTAAGCAATGATTAATGTAGGCAATAAGTGCTGCAGGAGTTCTGAAAAGGGAGAGATTACATTTGCATACATTTTTTGTTTACCCAGCATCTTCACAAAACATCTTCACTGTGAGATGTGAGAAGACAATAGAGTCTGAGAGAGCACTTGGCCTCTAAGTAGCTCACTTTCTTCCCTGGAGACTCATGCAGATCCTGACTCGGAATGTCTGAAGTGGGGCCTGAAGGTTTACATTTCCAAAAACGTCCTAGGTTTTCCCAATGCTGCTGGTCCATGAGGTGGCAAAGATCTGCATGGCTAGGACTCTGGGCTGTCTCCCTTAAGGTGCCCATATCCATCTCAAGCCACGACCTGTTAAACCCGAAGTGCTCCATAGTCAGAGACGATGTACATCTATCTCTGGGGTGACTAGGTTGGATGACTGAAGAGCTGATGGACCACATCCACACAGCCTTCCAAGCTAAGAAGGAGCACATTCCGGCAGGGGATCCCCATGTCTGGGTTCTGGCAGATCACAGATGGCCCATGCAAAATGGGCAACTGAAGTTAGCATATTGTAGGGACTATTTACAAGGTTGAGGCAGGGTTAACAGAAACCAGCAAATGATTATAAGGTATCACCTCAGGTAGAAGGGCCAGAAGGGGAGGAAGCAGTGATTAGAATCCCATGAGAGCTGAGGGAAAGGAACACCTGAGCAACTGAAACCCTTAAAGAAACACAGCCACTTGGGAGAAAATGGCCCATCAAGGAGAAATCCATGGGAGTAAATAAATAAATCCATGGGGACCCCAGCACTGCTCTTCTCCTGCCCCGTGATTTCCTGCTGATGCCTCCCATGAGTCTAACCCAACTAGAAACCAGAGGGCGAGAGAGCCCAGCTGTGGTAGCCCATCAAAGGCAGCCTCCTGGGCACAGACTGAGTGGTTTAAACAACATATATTTATTTCTCAAAGTTTTGGAGGCTGGGAAGTCCAAGGTCAAGGGCATCAGCAGATTTGGCGCCTAGAGAGAGTCAACTTCCTTGTTCACAGAAGACACAGGCTTCTCACTGTTTTTAAATGGCAGCAGGTAGCTCTGAGGCCTCATTTATAAAGGCACTCATTCCATTCACAGGGCTCCACCCTGATAACCTAACCACCCTCCAAAGCCTCCACTTCCCAGTATGAACATATTGGGGATTAGGATTCAACATATGAATTTTTGGGGATACTAACATTCAATCTGTAGCACCAGCTCAATAAGGGCTCAGCCTCAGTCAGAAATTAAGTTGGTATGAAAAATAAAGAAAATGACAGCATAGTCTGTGCCTGAGACTCTTATCCCCTTATGGAGGGGAGCTTACCTGAGAGTGTCAAACATCTTTATGAACGACAGGCAGGTGTAAACTCTTACAATGGAGCTTCTGGAACAATGGTTGTGACTCTGTTGAAGAAGTGGTATGTAGAGAAGAGGTGGGCTTTCCAGAGGTTGCTGCTGATTTCAGGAATGTGTTGAGAATAAGTCATGTGTACTTTGAAACCTGCAAGCAGTGGGCAATAGAAGGAAGAGAAAAAAGAATGCAACCTTTTTAAAGTTTGCTAATGACACAGATTTCTCTGAGCTTCTCAGAAAAAAAATGCCTAGAAAGGCAGGAGTGTGAAAAGTTACTTAGGGCTCCCACCTCACACCCCAATCCTTTCTTAAAAACAAAACTAAACTAAACCTCTGACCATCTTTCTGGGAAAAGAAGGGCATGAGCATGAGGAACTCTAACCCAGAGGAAAATGGGACCTGACCTACTTAGAACCAGTCCTGGCCAGCTTGAAATTTAGCATGAGTTGGGTTCCCAGCTTACTCCCGACCAGCTGCGAGTTTTCCCAGTGTCCGAAGTCGGTAAAGGGGGAAGGGAGAGGAGATGGCTGCACACTTCTGAGGGGAATGGAGCCAGAAGCTGACTGGGAGAGCTCAGTAGCACCTTCTTAGACCTGGCCAGCTCAAACAGCTGGAGAGCTCTTAGGCAGTAAACAGAACTCCAACAGGCATTTCCTGGTTCTTTGGGAAGCCAGGTGGGAGCTCCTTCTGCAGGATCCCAGGGGACAGTCTACCAAGGCAAAGGGACTCTGGGCCCCTGCATCTTTCTTCATGTTCCTTCATCTACCATCTGCAAAAACCAGAGGGAGATTTTAGGAGAAACTGAGCTCTGGAGGGGGAGGCAGAGTTATAAAAAGAGTTCAGGTCTTCTTGCCCTTGAGAGTTTTGTTTCTCATGCTACCCCAGTTTCCAGAAGTTGGAGGTTTTGATGCTGTACTGGACACTGGTTAAGGAATGGAAGCAATAACTAGGCCTGATCATTAGAAGCTATTCCGATACCTAATATAGATCAAGTGCCAAAATAAATTCTAGGTTAATTAAGAAGTCAAAGAATAATGATCACAACAAAAGAATTAGAAGACCCTGACTTGTGTAGCTTAGTGGATTGAGTACGGGCCTGTGAACCAAAGCATCACTGGTTCGATTCCCAATCAGGGCACATGTCTGGGTTGCAGGCCATGTCCCCAGGAGGGGCTACATGAGAGGCGACCATACATTAAGGTTTCACTCCCCTTCTTTTTCCCTTCCTTCCCCTCTCTCTAAAAATAAATAAACAAAATCCTAAAAAAAAAGAATTAGAAGAAAGTATAGGCAAATATTTAGCTGTTCCTAAGGTGATCAAGGCATTTCTTTAAAAAAAAAAAAGCAAACTAATAGGTTTAAAATATAAAAGCATACTTGGAGATACTGTGGGTTTGGTTCCAGACCACTTTAATAAAGCGAACATCACACTTAGGACAGATGTAATCCTTTTGCTGGTGGAGGGTCTTGCCCTCCATTTGTAAAACATGCAACATGTGATGTGCAATAAGGCAAGATGCAATAAAACAAGGTATGTCTGCATTATACAGTATATATGTACATATATAAATTTACTGTATGATTTTTAAATCACCAAAAACTAAAATTAATAAGACAAAACTAACAGAAAACAAGTCGGGAAAATATTCGGTTAATATCCTTAATATAGAAGAACACAGAAGTATGAAATAGACAACCATCCCAACAGAAAAGTGCTCATAATGAGCAATAAGCATATGGGAAGTATTAATACGACAGTGAAATATGACAAAATACCATATCATTCTTCTGGATTCACTGACATGAGGAAAAACATAATATCCAATATTGTCGAGGGAGCAAAAAAGGGGCATTTTCAAACATTTCCACCTGGAAGGTAAATTGGTTTGACACTTTTGGAGGATAATTTGGTAGTTTATCTTATATAAGTCTGCAAATGTGCATGACTTTTAACTCAGCAATTCCTCCTCCAGAAATTTATCCTAAGGAAATAATTGAGTATGTGCACAAACACTTATCTACAAGAATGTTTACTACAGTGTTATTTTGTGAAACATTGAGGGTCGGAAGTATTGATTTTGGGATTGACAGAGTTGGGTGGTGGATACATGGGTCTCCATTATTGTATTAGTTTTCTATTGTTGCTGTATCAAATTACCATGAAGTTTGTGGCTTTAAACAACACAAATTTGTCATTTTACAGTTCTCCAGTTCCGTCTGATCCAGGTCTCACCCTTCAAATTGAGGTACTGGCAGGCATGTGCCCCTTCTGGAGAGTCTAGGGGAGAGTCCATTTCCTGTCCTTTTCAGGCTTCTGGAGGCAGAACACATTCCTTGGTTCATGGCCCCCTTCAGCCATCTTTAAAGCCAGCAACATAGCTGGCTTCTTCATCAACACATCTTTTTCTTTGATTAGCTTTTTCTGGCTTCCTCTTCCACTTTTAAGAACCCTTGTAATTACATTGGGCCTTCCCAGATAACCCAGGATATTTTTCCTGTTTTAAGTCAGCTAATTAGTAACCTTAATTCAACTTGCCATCTAACTACAGGGCCTGGGCATTAGGACACTGAAGTCTTCGGGGGCCATTATTTTGCCTACACAAGTGTATTATTCTATATACTTCTTTCTGAACATAGTTAATATTTATTATTATTTAAAATATTAAATACCTAACTCCAAGTTAGCATTTGGATGAAAGGAGGTTATATCTTCAAATGATGAACACTGTATGTACCCAGTAAAAGTCATAATTAGGAAAATGTTCATTATATACTAAGTTCGGGGAAAAAATGAAGTCTAAAAAGGAATAGGCACAAGATGATACCAATTATGTTAAAACTCAAAATAAACTTATATGTAAGTGAATAAGTGTGGAAGGAAGGGCATAGGTCAAAATGTTTAACATGTTAATCTCTGTGCAGTGATTTTAATTTTCCAAAATGTGTATTTTGCATATATTATGTTTGTAAACAGAGAAAAAGGCAATTAGAAAGTCTATCTAGGACAATTCACTGGTCAAGGGTCTTCCTGGTTTCTTAGCTTTCGATCACATTCCCTCACACACTCATCCCTCAAGCTTGTCTTCCTCATCAAAACTATTTCAGACCTGTGACACACTGTTTTCAGGCCTGAGCTGTCCATTCTGCAAAGTTCACACACCCCCTGAAGGACAGGAGGGAGCCTTGCAGTGACGTAAGCACGGTAGAGAATCCATGCTTCTTAAAAACTTTGTTAGGGCCAAGCAAACCCAAGGCACAGCCTCAGCCCATAAAGAACTTTAGTAGTGTCTTGGAAGCCTTGAAGCACAAATTAGGAGTCTATTCCATAATCTCCCTGGCACATATTAATAGTTTTAATTAGTAACATTGTTTTTAATACATAAAGGACAGTGTCCCAGTGAAAAAGGAGCAGATGGGCTTGGCTGCCAAATCGTGACTAGCGACGCCACCCGAATGCCCTTTCCGTAGCCTGCGCAGGAGGGGGCTTCCCGGCCGGGCACACAGCGTGTCCCCTGGTCCGGGCTCCGGTGGCCCCAGCCCTGCAGCCCGTTAGGTTCGCGAGGTTCGAGGTTCACAGAGTTCGTGGGGTTCACGGACTCCGGGCACTCGGACCGGCACAACACTCACGTCTCTCCTCCACTAGGGACGCGCGAACCCGGCCGGAGCCCTAGCAGACCACCGAGAGGAGCGGCTAGAGCGCACAGCGCCGCCCCGCGGCCCGCCCCTCCTCTCCCGGCCTCCTCTCTCCCGGAAGTTGGTGCCCGGCGCCCCGACCGCTTGCACCCTGCCAGAGGTGTCGCCTTGGAGAGCTGGACGGCTGGCTTTGCGAAAGGATCGACATGCCTGTGAGTTGTTTACTTTCAGCCTTGTTTCGGGTTTCTCAGTGTGTCCACTGGCCGGGGTCGGGTCAGCCCGACGGCTCCGCGGGCCCCTGGGGCTCCGTGCGGAGCTTGGCGACTCGGTTGGGATCGCACAGCCCTTCGCGCGCGTGGCGGACTTGTTGGGACTTGGCTGGCCAGCGACTTGTGCGGCCCTGCCAGGGCGTGGGGTGGGGACACCTGGGCTGGGCGCTGGCGTCGGTGGGGGTGGGGGCGTCAGCGTCCCCGGGGGTTTACCCGTCCGGGTTTTTGGTGGGCTCGCGCCACGAGGTCGAGGTGTTTAAAGTCCTTTTGGCTCTCTGAGGTTGGGCTCTTTCGGGCTTTTCGGGGTGCTCGCCCCCTCAGCCCCCTCTCCGAAGCGATTGTCGGCTTGTTTACTTTTTCAAACGGACTTCGCAGTTGCCTTACGCGCGGCCGCTCCATCCGGGACGGTCACTCCTGCGCCACCCGGAGCTCCTGTCAGATCCGGGAACCAGGGCGGGAACCAGGGCGGACGGGAGGGCGTGGGGTTGCCCGAATCTCCCCCGGCCCGGTCTCGCCCGTCTCAGCGGTTTCTCGGCGCAGCCAGGTCGAGGTCGTGTCCTCGCTTCGCGCCCGGGTTTTGGTGGTTGTTAATGGGGACCGTTTCTCAGCTGAGCGCAGAAGAACAGGGTTAGCCGTTCCATATGTTTCCCGATCGTCAGGGAGCGCCTCTGTCGGGCCCGGGGGAACGCCAGCGTCACAGAAAGTGCAGATGGACGTTAAACTGTAAAAAGTACCCCCCGAAATGTTGCCTCCGCTGAGTATGACTGTTGTTTTTGCATGCGTGTGTCACGCCTGGTTGAATCTGCCAGCATTGTGTTTCCATTTTAGTAGTAATAACAGGCTGTTTTATTCAGTTGGCTAGAGATTTACTACATCCGTCCTTGGAAGAGGAAAAGAAAAAACATAAAAAGAAACGACTGGTTCAAAGTCCAAATTCTTACTTTATGGATGTAAAATGTCCAGGTACATTTTCAAATTTAATTCCTTTCCCAGTGAAAATCTCAGTAGTGGGGGGTGTATATTTTTAGGGTCCTCTGTTGAGCCGAAGTGGGATAACAGAATTGAACCTTTTCGTAATAAACTATTCAAACCGCTGTAGAAACATTTTGGGGAAAGAGGGATGAAGATGAGTCTCCAAAGGGAATATGACTTTTGATTTACTAAGTCCTTAGGCTGATAAGAGGATGAGTTTTCCTTTTCATGATGCAATGAAAAGTCTGTTGATTCTTCAGTGTGAGGCCGTGCTGCCCAATATGGTGGCCGTTGGCTGCGTCCGTGGCTGCTGCGCCCTGAAATGTGGCTGGCAAAATGGAAATATTCTTTAAGTGTAGAGTATACACCAGATTTTGAAGTAGCACCCCCCCGTTATTGATTACATGTTGAAATGATAATATTTAACAATTTTGTGGCTACTAGAAAAGTTTCAGTTACACGTACAACTTGCTATCGTACAACACTTAAGTACTTAATCCTTTGCAAAGTCTTTACTAGAAATACGTTGAACAAGTGCCGCATTTTCTGCTTTTCATTTTTAACATGGCCCCTTTTTAGGCTGCTACAAGATCACCACGGTCTTCAGCCATGCACAGACAGTGGTTCTCTGCGTAGGCTGTTCGACGGTGCTGTGCCAGCCAACAGGAGGAAAGGCCAGACTCACTGAGGGTATGTCGTGCGGCACTTTCTAACCTAGTGCTGAGATTTTATCATTGTAAATGTCTCTCCCTTCACTAAAAACCAGTTTAAAAGAGATCCTAAATTCAGAGTTACCAAAATAATTTTGTCTTTTACTATGTACACTTTCAGTAAAGAGTGCCCTATTTAATTGGGTAAGTTTATACTCTTGACCTTGCAAAGAACTCCTTTGAATATTATTTTTCTTAGTTTGGAACACTGAATTCTGTTGTATTTAGTCATGTAGTTTGCCTAATTTTGAATATTAAATCAGAATGGAGCAAAAGAATAACTATATACAATAGGACATGGATTTTTTTTAAACATAGGATTTAAAATTTTCTCTTGTAAAGAATGTGTTTCATGTGTATTGTAAGACTCAACAGTTATCATTGTTAACTAAATAACAGATAATACGTAAATTTAAATGCTAGAGGTTTGATATTTATGGGTACCTACTTAATGGTTAATAAAAAAAATCTAATTTTGTCTCGACTTGTGTGGCTCAGTTGGCTGGGTGTTGTTCTGCAAAGTTGCCGGCTCTGCTGGCTCAATATCGGGTCAGAGCACACGCCTGGGGTACAGTTCACCCGGTTCAGCAGCATGTGGGAGAGGCAGCCTGTCGATATTTCGCTCTCTCCTTCCTCCCTCTTTTCCCCTCTCTAAAAATAAAAAAATTAAAAAATTAAAAACCTATATATTTTAATTCCCCTCTAACTTTTGTGCAGTAAGTAAAAATAATAGTTATGTATAAAGTTTTCTGTAGTACAACTTACAGATTTAGAATTCCATTATCATATTTGAAATTTGCTTGTAGATTTAGAATTCCATTATCATATTTGAAATTTGCTTGTGATATTTTTGGGAGCTGTGAATTCCATGTTGTTCTCACTGGATGAGTTATAAGTGGATTTGTAACAAAATCAACATCTATTTGCTGTGACCTGGTAGGATATAAGAATGAAGTTAATGTACTTGTAGTATTTCCAAAACCTTTATATTATGCCAGTGTTGAGTTTTAACTGATGAATTCAGGCTCACGGTCTTAAATACACTCTATCAAAGCATTTGAGAAACAAGAGTGACAGTTATAATCACATCAGAGTAAATTCAAATATAAACGATTTATTACAGCAAATTTCTGGTATAAAAGGATAAATAACCTGTATATCAATATTAATGTAATATTCCTAAAACACAAGTTTTTTTACTTAAGTACTTTTTGCCATTAAAACTAGACCAAAGAGCCCTGGCTGGTGTGACTCAGTGGGTTGAATGCCAGCCTGCTAACAGAAAGGTTGCCAGTTCAGTTCCTGGTCAGGGTACAAGCCTGGGTTGCAGGCCAGCTCCCCAGTTGGAGGCGTACAAGAGGCAATCAATTGATATTTCTCTCCTTCTCTTGCCTTTTTCCTGTCTCTAAAAAAATTAGTAAAAATAAAAAATACATATACCAAAAATAGAATAGACTTGTGTTTAATATGCTGTTGTACTTCTATTGCAGGGTGTTCATTTAGAAGAAAGCAACACTAATGATCCACACAGCTTCCTGAATTTGTGTTATATCACAGAAAGCCTTATCAGTTTAGTAATTCTACTTAATCTACCAAGATAACATAATTACATTTAATTTTGTAAGTATACAACAATGATTTCCTATTTTGGTGTCAGTTTTTCAATAAAGTTTTGATTATGGGAAAATTCCCCGTTTTTCTTTTTTTCTAAGTATGTGTGCATGTTATAAATTAATATATATATCTTGTATGTGACTTTGGTTTAAATGTATAAAATATATATATTCTGATTCATTTGTGCTTCATTTCAAGAGTGGAAGCCCTACATACTTGATTTTTAGTCCTTTTCCAAATTTCTCTAAATGAGGCTAAACAATTACAAGTGGAAAGAAGTCTCTTGTTATTTATAAATATAATTTTGCTGTTGTAACTCTGGAAACACGTTTTAGAAGTACATATTTAATATAATAACAATCAAAGTGTAATGCCTTGGATTTATGTGGCCCTGATAATACAGCATAATTAGGACTGCAGTTGGGGCTTGAGTTACAGGGAGCTCCTTTTAGGGTAGAGAATTGTCCCTGGACGGGTGACTCAGTTGATTTTGTAGCATTGCCCTTACCTCAAAAGGTTGCAGGTTCAATTCCCAGTCAGGGCACATACCCGGATTGTGGGTTCTCTCCCTGGTCAGGGCACATATGGGAGGTAACCAATCAATATTTCTCTCTCCCCTCTCTCTCTTCTCTCCCTAAAATTAATAAAAGCATGTCCTTGGGTGAGGATTAAAAAAATATATAGCATGGATTGAAAAAATTTACAAACATGAATATAAGATCGAGAGATCAGCAAAAGCAAGCAAGAAAGAAGGAGACAAAGTACATCCACTCATAGAAAGCTACTTTCTTTATACTTCAACCAACTCAGATATCCCTCTATTTACCTTTATAAATCAAAGTGGAAAGTGAAGAAATGGGCTTAGGGCCTAGAATGACAGAACAACCTTTTATTAGGGTATATAAAAACATCAGTTGCTTTTGGAATTTTATGAATTCAGTGTAATCTCCAATATACACCATCTATGGCTGTTACAACAAAATTTCCCAGTATGTTCACTACAATAGGCCATTTGTGGAACCAGTCTCCAAGATGGCTCCCAATGATCCCTACTTCTGAGATTCACCCTTTATATAGACTTCCCCCAAACTGAATCAGAGTTGGTCTGTGTGACCAATAGAATTTGGTATAAGTGATGTTACATGTCTTCCAGGGCTGGATTATAAAGTACATTGTGGCTTTGCCCTGTTCACTCTTCACCTAATCTAAAGGAGGCCTTTCAGTCTTTCTGTAAAGATAGTCAAGCATACCTATGGAGATGCCCATGTAATGAAAAACAGAACTCGTGTCAAATCCAGCAAGCCCTCTTGCCTATAGCCACAAGGGTGAGCCATCTTGGAATTGGATCCTCTAGCCCCACTCAAGCTTTCAAATGACTGAAGCCCCTGTTAACATATTTCCCACAACCACACTAGAGACCCTGAGCTAGAACCACTTAGCTAAGCAGCTCCCAAATTTAGGAAACATGGAAATTGTGGGATGGAGTAATCTGTTACACAGCAATAGACAACTAATGCACACACTAAGTGAAAGAAGCCAGACATAAAAGGCCACACATCGTATGGCCTCATTTATATGAAATGTCCATAATAGGCAAATCCAAAGAGATAAAAAGTAGGTTGGCAGTTTCTAGAACCTGTGAGGAAAGAAATGAGAATAATGGGTATAAGATTTCTTGAGCGAAGATGTTCTAGAATGGATACAAAACCGTATGGGCATACTAAAACCCACTGAGTGCATACTTTAAAAGGATGAACTTCATGGTATATGAACTGCGAATTGTACCTGAAATAAGTTTAATAGATTTTGATACTGGGAGAGTGTAGCTCTAACAAAAACAGTTGTGGATTTGAAACAGAGCAGTGAAGAGAAGTTGGAAGGACTTTGAAGACAGTATTAGTGCAGGCCCAAGGAGCCTTGACAAAACTGTTGGGAAGTATTGGGTTGGCCAAAAAGTTTGTTCAGTTTTCTTCTGTATGACAGCTCTAGTAGTGCTTCGTTGTCTTCAACTTCATTTGAAACAATTTTGTTACATTGTACTGGAACAGCTATCATAGCAGCATGCATTTTTTAAAAAACTTAACCAAAATTGGTCAATTTTTGTGCAGCCATTTTAATATTGAAGATGAAAGAAGATGCACAACATTTTCAGCATATTATGCTCTCTTTAAGGAAGGTAAAAACACAACTGAAACAAAGAAGATTTGTGCAGCATATGGAGGTGCTGTGACTGGTCGAACATGTCAAAAGTGGCTTGCAAATTTTCTTGGTATTATTGACATTTTGGCCAAATAATTCTTTGCTGTGGGGCTGTCTTGTGCACTGGAAAATGTTTAGCAGCACCCCTGGCCTCTGCCCATTAGAAACCAGTAATGGGAGATAACTGACATACTCAGAGTATCCAAATCAATAAAGTTATTGGTGAAAATGAAAAATGTGTCCTTTATGGAAAAAGCTAAACAGATTTTTTTGACCAACTCAATATGATGGCTTTTGAGGAGGCTGCAGTGTGAACTTAAGGAGAGTAAGTTAAATCTTACTAGAAATTGCCAGAAAAGGCATTATTGTTATGTAGTGGCAGGAAGTTGAGCAACACTGTTGCTTGCAGGGACATAGAAAATAAGTGATAACTGGGTGATCTGGCTGCAATTTCCAGTGTTCATTCTGCTTCCTGGCTTCTTGCTGCTTATATGAGAGAGGTAAGTTAAATGAAAGACTACTAAACAAAAAGGAATTCATATCGATAGTTTTTCAAAAACTTCCCAGATTCCCCAGATGGCAAAATAATGCTAAATTTAAGAAATGGCTTCAAGACAAAGACAAAATAGAGGGAACTTTCAGGGAAACATGATCTAAAGATGAAATTGAAGATATAACCCTAAAAGTCTTAAAACTAGAAAAAAACCGAGATGTTTTATTAGAAATTTAATGGTGTTTTCTCCAATTGTCTCATCAGAATCCCAAGCTAGAGGTGGCTTATTTTAAAGAAATTTTTGGGTATGGCTTTTGTTTACTACCATGAGTCCCAATGAGATTTGTAGGAGGCTAGCAAAGTTTTGAAGATTTATATTGGAAGATACACTGCTAAGTAAGACTGAAAGGAGAGAGTACAAGAGGCTGTTGGACCCCCACATATCTACAAGGAGAAAACAGACTGAAAAAACGTCCCACTAAGCTGCACACACATGCTGCCTTACGTTAGAAAAGAGTAACCCAGAAGACAGAATCAAGAACCCAAAAATACTTAGCCAAGTATCAAGAATTGTTCCCAAGTCTTGAATATTGATCAAGGAGCTTCCAACCTGTGTCTGGTTGGATTCTGCAATTCCTATGACTTGCATGTTTTCCATTTCTCCACTATTTGAAGAGGATCTATAATAATCCTATATATGTCATGCCATTGGATGTTGTACATGTGAGGGGCAAATAACTTGTCTTTAGTTTACAGGTCTTCAGATCAATAGAAACTGTACTTGAGTTACTGTACTTAAGGAATTACCCACAAGGAGCCTCATTCACCCTTAGACCTGATTTAGATGATGGATACTGGGCTTTGAGCTGATAACATAATGAGATGAAGTTTTGGGAGGACTTGGGAGGAAGTAAATGTATTTTGCATTTGGGAAAGCCATGGATCATTGGGAGCCAGAGGTTAGACTATGGTAGCCAACTTCCAAGATGATCGCTACCTCCTGATATTCACACCCTGAGTAATCCCTCTAAGAGAGTATCAGCGTTGGTCTGTGTAATCTATGCAAATGTGATGGCACATGACTTTGGAGACTAGATTATAAAAGACAGTGACTTCTTCCTGGCTGGTTTCTTGATTAACTTGTTCTGGGGAGGCCAATTACCATGACATTAGGATAACTCAAGCAATCATACAGAGAAGCTCACATGAAAAACAGGCCTCTTATCACCCACAAGCAGACAACTGATTCTTACCACCAGTCATGTGGGTGAGTCATTTTGTAAGCATTTTCTCCAAGATCTTGTCTGCATTTTCATCTTAGATTCTGGCATCAGACCCACCCAGCCAAGCTACTTCTGAATTTCTGAGCCTCAGAAACCTCATAAGATAAATAAAGATTTGCTCTTTTAAACTGCAACAGATAGACTAATATACTATTTCTCATAGTCTTGTTTCTGTCATATTAAAAGAATAAGGGATCCAAGATGGCAGTGGTGTAAGATGCTGAATTCGTCCACTCCACAAGCACACTGAAATATACACCCATATAGACAGCAGTTACTCATGAGAGACAATGAGAGAGCTGAATGAAACAGCTTCTGAACAACAAATGACAGGAAGAGGCTGAATAGAGAAGGCTGGGAAACTGCGGGAGCCCTATGGAAGCTGTGGGAGTTCTATGAGGTCATTGGTACCAGTGAGTGAGATTGTTTACATCCCCCTCCACCTTGATAGGGTAGGAGTTCTATTCAGGTGCTCTGGCTTACGTGGAAGGGTACGGCACCATATTCCTGGACACACTGCTTGAGCCCATTTTGGCTCCCAACAAAGGGAGCAGACAGGATCAAAATGGCATTACCACACATACCTGGTCTCCCCACCCAGAGCCACTCTGGCTCAGTAGGCCAGTGTTCTGGATGCCATTGTCACCCACTCAATTCCAAAAGCATCTGCGCACACAGCCTACACAGAAGTTGCTTCTACACAAGGCCACCTTTTCAAGACTGGGGGAGAGAACTATTTTATCTAGTTTATATTAACATAGAAAGTCAAACAAAATGAAGGCAAAAAAAATATCTCTCAAATGAAGGAGTAAGAAAAATCTCTAGGAAAGAGCTGTAAGGAAACAGAGTTAAGTCATTTGCCTGATAAGGAATTCAAACAGCCCTGGCTGGTGTGGCTCAGTGGGTTGAGGTCTGGCCTACAAACCAAAAGGTCACTGGTTCAGTTCCTAGTCAGGGCACATGCTTGGGTTGCAGGCCAGATTCTCAATTGGGGGCATGAGAGAGGCAACTGATCCATGTATCTCTTGCACATCGATGTTTCTCTCCTTCTCTTTCTGCCTCCCATCTCCTCTCTCCAAAAATTTATAAAGAAAATCTTAAAAAAAAAATAAAAGAATCCAAAGAAATGGTCATAAGGATTCTCACCAAACTTGAGGGTAGAACAGTAGAATATAGTAGAATAGAAGGACTGAGGAAGCAC